GAGAGCATGAAGGGAGGAAAGGGAGAGACTAGATCTCATTCTTGTTTATTGGATTTATGCTAAGCTGTGTAGCTTGGAGTTCACAGAGCAGCATTGCCAGGAGGTTCAGTTTGCCTGGCTGGGTAGGCTTAGAGGGCACGAGATCAGCCTGGGCAGCAAGCTCCGGGCTTGCTCCTCATGCATTCCTGAGTCAGGCAGACACTGGTGTGATGCCAGGGTGGAAAAGCCTCTCTCCTGGCCAGGATCCCAGCAGGGCAATCTCTTCTCCATTCTTGGCTGCGTTCTCTCCATGCCTTATCCCAGAGAGCGCGACGGAGGCGCAGAGCCCTCAGTTCACACATGCACCTCCTTCCTTCCCCTCAGCAAAGCGCTTTCCTCCAGCCAGGCCGTGGGCTGGGGTGGGAACAGGGCAGGAAGGGCACCACTCACCTCCCACAGGCACGTGCCAGGTGTGCAGCCCTGTCCCCTCCTGCCACAGGGAGGACACGGCCATGGGCACATTCCACCTTTCTCCCTCCAAACTCCTCCGCTGCCAGTGGTTCCCAGAAGCTGCGTCTGTGGCACAGGCATTCCTCTGTCTGCTGTAGGAAACCATGGTTTGGCATCTTGGGAGGGTGTCCAGGGGCAGGGGCGCTCCCTGGGGAGCCGCCCTGCCCACTGCCCACAGAGCTGGCCCTGAGACACTTCCGTTGCTGCCCTCCCAAGCCCCACTAAGTGCCTGTCACCAGAACTCGATTCCTTCTGCATCTCCTGCCGTGTTTGGTCATTCCTCGCTGCCTCCACTCAAGGAGCAGCTTGTAGTTGCAGCATATGTAAGTGTTTGCAGGGTGAGGGAGGGCGGGGGGGAAGGGGGCCATCTCAACAGGTTTTGTTCCTAAATGTTTTTGGTTTCTTTTGTTTTGTTGTTTTTTTGGGGGTTTTTTGGTTTTTGGTTTTTTTTTAAGTGAATGTATTTGATCGTTTAGAAACTTTCCTGACCTTGTTTTTAAGTGGGTTGGTTTGAAAGCTGTTTCATGGTGACCCACTACAGCTTCTCTCCAGAGATACGGTGTTCTTTTAATCCTACAATGATGTGTTTGTAGGGGAGGACTGTCCCCCCACGGCATGCTGGTAATGCTCACTTGTACCAAGCCCTCTTGCACTATAATCGTACGTTGGACTCTTCAAAAAAAAGGGCAAAGATGTGGGGTGGCTTTTTAACAAAAAAAAAAAAATTAAAAAAAAAAAAAAAAGAATATAAAGCAAGTTACCAGCAAGTCCTGTGCTTGAGGGAACCGCTGTCCCCAGGGAGCTCGGAGGTGACAAGGAGAGCAGCCAGACTGAGCCAGCCATGCTGTGGTAGGATGTAGGGCATTAACCTGGGCAATCCCTCCTCTCCTTGGCGGGAGCAGTTGGCAGCCAGGAGGCCCCAGGCAGGGGAGGGCTCCTGGGGGCTCCTGGTGCAGGTGCCTCTGACGCGGCTCTCGGCCCTCCAACGTTGCGATGCAGTCTTCTGAGGTATCAAGTGAGACGATTTTTTTTTTTTCAATAAAACATTGCACTGCTGCATTGTTCTCCATGAATAGAAGTATTTATTACCTCAGCCTGACCATGGCACTTGTGTTTTGTCTTCCTTTGGCTCTGCTGGGCGCTTGTGTGACCCTCTGTTCCCTTTGGAGAGGGCAATGCATGGGGTGGGACCTTGTGGGACCTTCTCAACACTTTGTGCTTTACAGCCATGGGTGGTTCAGCCCTATGGAGCTCGGCCAAGGCATGGTGGTACTGATGTCCCTTCTCCTGGGCACACACATTCCCACTGCAGCCATCCTGGAATGCAGGATGCCTTGTCCTGAGGCAGAAGGGACCACAGGGAGATGGGTACTGGGACCTGCCCCTTTGGCAAGGCTGTGGGATAAAAACTGAAGGAAGGAGTGAGAGAAGCCCTAATTCCTCTTAAATACCATTGAGAGGCCGGGCTGGAAGCCCACAGTGGTGTTGCAGATGCCTGTGTTCAGCTTAGCACCATCACTGAAGGTGTCACTGCCCATGGCAGGGGTTAGACACGTAAAGGTCCCTTCAAACCCAAACTGGTCTGTGAATGCAAATCCTGCACTTAGTTGAACATGTGGGAATTAGGTTTTCATCAGGTCTGGGGCACTGTCAGTCCCCACAAAGATAAACCTCAAAGGTGGAGATGTGGGTTCCAAGGGTCAGGGAGGGAACCTTTGAGGTTCATCTCCTTCACCGAGCGCACGTGTCCCCAGACAAACTTTTGGAAGCAAGAAATGAAAGATCATGCTAAAGATAATACATTTAAGGCTGGGAATTAGGGGGGAAAATGTCACACGAGAGATCAGAGTGTGGAGCAGGTTCCAAGTGTGGGAACACTTTGGTTCAGGTGTCTCTGAGCGGGTACAGCGCCAGCTGCTCCCAGAGGTGCTTTGGCTCTCGGGTGGCATCTCTGCAACGCGCCCGCTCAGCCATTGACCGCAGCCATTCAGCTCGCCGGGGGCCGCGGCTGCTGCTACTGGGGACACACCGGGCCCGAGGACAAAGCGGGGACAGAGCGGGACACAGCGGGGACACGCCGGAACAGCGCCCCCGGCCTTCCTCAGCCCCGCCCTCCGCCCGTGCCCATTGGTCACCGCCACCCTCGGTCCCGCCCCTCTCCCACCTCCTCCCCCTTAGTGCCCAATCATCGTGGCGTTCCGCTCATGATTGACAGCGACGCGGTCGCCCAGCGAGGGGCAACGTGGCATACTCCCGCGCTCCGCCCGGCCGGAAGGGGCTACTCTACCCCCCCTGTGGGACCCTGTTGGTCGCGCCCAGGCGGGCGGAGCGGGCGGGCGAGCGAGCGGTGCGGGAGGGGGTGCGCGGCGGGCGTGGCCGGATGCCGGCGGCGCGGCGGGCGCTGTGGCCGGGCTGCGAGCGGCGCAGGATGAAGGTGCTGGTGGCGGCGGCGGCGCTGGGCGCGGCCCTCCTGCTCCTGCTGCCCGCGGCCTCCCGCGCCGACGAGCGCAAGAAGGGACCCAAGGTCACCGCCAAGGTCGGGGGGGGCCGAGGCGGGGCGATTGGGAAAGACTCCGGGGGGTGGGAGCCCGGATGGGGCGGGGGAGATCTGGAGATGGAGAACTTGGGGTGAGGGGCCCTGGATGGGCCTGGGATTGAGGGGCCGGATGGGGAGGGTGGGGTGAGGCCGTGAGGGAGGGAGGGTCCAGTGCGGGGCGGTTGGGGGCACCTGAAAGGGGGAGGCGGCCTGGGGACAGCTCGGCCCAGCTCTGGGGAAGCTGAGGGGGGAACTGGGCTGAAGGCCTGGGCTGGGGGCTCCAGCTGGGGTGAGTGGTGAGACTGCTGGGGGGATGCAGCCCGGGCTGTGGGGCACCAACCAACCTCACCTTGTGAGGGTTTGGGCCTGGTTGGAGTTGGTGAGTTGGACTTTTGGGGGTGAGTTGGCCCAGCAAGGTGAGTCTGGTTCCCCTGATCCCCCTAACCTTCCTCCGCCCCCCCAAGGTGTTTTTCGACCTGCGGATCGGTGAGGAGGATGTAGGCCGTGTCGTCATCGGGCTCTTCGGCAAGACAGTGCCCAAAACTGTGGAGAACTTCATGGCCTTGGCCACCGGAGAGGTGAGGGGCCCGTGGCACCCTGGGCCTCACCTGCCCCTGCTCGCGTCCTGCTCGGTGCCCTGGGGCAGCGCTGGGGCCACGGAGCTCAGGTCTGTCCCTTCGCCTCACTCCGTGTTCTTCCTCCACACCCCCAGAAAGGATTTGGCTTCAAGGGCAGCAAGTTCCACCGTGTGATCAAGGACTTCATGATCCAGGGAGGAGACTTCACCCGTGGTGACGGCACTGGAGGTAACCTGGTGGATCCAAGCCACTGTCTTGGAGAGAGGCAGCAGCTAAAATTCCAACCACTGCAGGGCTGTGCACCAGTGTAGAGCTGGAGCTTGGTGGAATCACGTGGGCGTGGAGCTCACAAAGACATGGCCTCAGAGCAGAACTGAGTGCTGGGGTAACTGGGAGCCTCCTGCCCCGCTGCCTTGGCATGACACCCCTGCCCAGCCCCTGGGGTGTCTGGCTCCCTGCAGCAGCCCATGGCTCATGCATCCCTGTGGCATCAGTGCTAGTCCCTGCTCTGGAATTGCTCATTCCCCACCCACCTCGCTTTGGAGTTGCCACCACCATCACCCCTACCTGAGATATTCCGTGAGACCACTGTGGCCTTTTTGTCCCCCCCTTTAGGAAAAAGCATCTACGGGGACCGTTTCCCTGACGAGAACTTCAAGCTGAAGCATTATGGGCCGGGCTGGGTGAGCATGGCCAATGCTGGCAAGGACACCAACGGCTCCCAGTTCTTCATCACCACCGTGAAGACGCCGTGGCTGGACGGGAAGCACGTGGTGTTCGGCAAAGTGCTGGAGGGAATGGTGAGGCAGGGAGAGGGAGAGGGGTCGGTGCTCTGGGAAGGGCTTGGCCGAGCTGGGCCAGCCCAACATCCCACTGTCACACTGTGCTCCACCAGGATGTGGTGAGGAAGGTGGAGAGCACAAAGACTGACAGCCGGGACAAGCCCCTCAAGGACGTCACCATCGTCGACTGTGGCACCATTGAGGTGGAGAAGCCCTTTGCCATTGCCAAGGAGTGACGGGACCAGGCCCTGCCAGGCTGTGAGGGGCTGTGGGACGGGGCTGCTGTGCTTCCCCTGCCCTGGGGCCACCAGGTCCTGCTGTGTCCCAGTGCCAGCCCCTCTCCCTGCTGCCTCCAGCCAGTGGGACAGGGCACAGGCTGCTCTTCCATCACTTTTGTAAGAAGCACATGCACCAATAAATGTGACCAATGTGTTTTTTAAACAGCTGCCTCTCTCATGCCTTCGGGGGGGGTGCAGATCACTGCATCCCTCAGCCAGATACACCCTTCAACCTTCCAGCCCCCCTTCCAACCTTCCTTTTTTATCATCTCATCCAGCTGGGAGCAGTGCCACAGTTGGCCCTGCGTTTGCTTTGGAGAATTCCACAGCACAGCACTTTGCCAGTCAGTCAAATCCAGGAGATTTATTGCACCAAAGCCTGGATGCAGAGAGGTTTTCCAGCACCATTCAGCATCCAAAGGCTCATACTGCAAGCCCACAACAGCAGGGGGGAAGGCAGAGCTCCTGCTCTGCCAACAAAGGCACTTTGCATGGTGGTGGGAGAGCGGTTCCCAACATCCCTTTGGCTTCTCCCAGCAGGGGAGTGAGTTTCACCTCAAGGATCCTTTCTCTCAGCACTGCATCCCTGGGTGCTGGGTGGAACTCATCATTCCAGAGGCTGAGGATGCTGCCAGGCTGGGACACGGCTCAGGGGGAGGTAGAGGCCCTGCAGGACCCCGCTGAGGATGGTGTTGGGGAGCAGCTCTGCAGGGAAACGGGGGTGCTGAAACAGCTGGTTCCCTCCTGGGCCCCGTTAAAGGAGAAGCACCTTTGTAGGGCCTAGAGGAGCCTCCTGGAGGTTTTGGAGCCCTATTCCACAGCCCTACTCCTTACCAGGGCCGCGTGGCCGCATGTAGGGATCCAAGCAGAAGCCGACAATGGGGCGCTGGGGGGGCAGGACTCTGGTGCTGCTGTGGGAGAGGGGACACCAGTCCTCAGCCTGTCACCACCATCCCCAACCCCAGGTACTCGTTAGGAGTGCCTAACATGGGGCAGGGCCATGTGGGATAACCCTGGTGACAGCAGAACTCATCTACTCACGGGGGGCTGCTGGCCTTGGGGCTCTGCTGGCACCGCGGCACCTTCAGGAAGTCCAGGATGTCCTGGGGCAGCTCCTTGTTGTGGTACAGCACACCCTGCAATGCTCCAGGGGGGTCAGCACCCCAATAACCCCCTCCCTAACCCACCACCGTGTGTTCTTCACCCCTAAAACCCAGCCTGAACCTGCTGTACACTCCTCACCTGCAGGTAAACCTCCAGGGCCTGCCGGCGCTGCTCCAGCGCTTTGGGCATCCAGTTGGGGACATGGCGTGGGGGGAAGTCGGGCACCTTGCAGGTCTTCTTGATCTGAGGAAGGTGTGGGGGGATCAGGGCAGGCTGGAGAGGGTGAGGCCAGGCCTCCCACGTCCCCTCCTGCAGAGCCGGGGGCTCTCACCCGCTTGTGCAGCGCCTGGAACTCGCTGTAGCGCTTGGTCACCGTGTGCCGCCGGCCATTGCACAGCACCTCCACCCGGAACAGCTGCAGGGGGACAGACAGCGTGCTCCTCGTCAGCCCCAGCCTCACCATGCTCGCTGTTCTGTCTTCATCACCCTCACCATTCTTGTCAGCCCCAGCCTCACCATCATCGCTGTTCTCACCATCCCTCATCATCCTCATCAGCCCCAGCTTCACCATGTTCATTGTTCTCACTGTCTTCATCACCCTCACCATCCTCATCAGCCCCAGCACCACCATCATCACTGTTCTCACCATCCCTCATCATCCTCGTCAGCCCCAGCCTCACCATGTTCATTGTTCTCACTGTCTTCATCACCTTCACCATCCCTCATCATCCTCATCCTCCTCATCAGCCCGAGCCTCACCATGCATGTTGTTCTGTCTTCATCACCCTCACCATCCTCATCAGCTCCAGCCTCATCATCTTCAGCACTCTCAGCACCCTCACCATCCTCGTTGTTCTCACCATCTTCATCACCCTCACTATCCCTCATCATCTTCATCAGCTCCAGCCTTTCTCATCATCCTCACCATTCTCACCAGCCTCAGCACCCTCACTCACCATCCTTATCACCCTCACCATCTTCATCATGCTCATCACACTCATCAGCCTCCCAGAGGAGGCAGGGGCCCCTAACTCACACACCTGTGGAGAGCATGTGGGACACTCCACCCCCACTTCTCTAGGACAGGCAGAGACCCCCAACCTCCAGGGCAGACCCCCGACACCCCCACAGCAAATGGGGGCACCATGGGACCAGGCAGGACCCCCACAAGCAGATGGAACACAATTCTCCCCTCCCAAGGGGAGCACAGCAAGGTGTGACAGCCCAACCCCCACCAAACCCCACCAGACAGAGACCCTGGGGCTGGCAGGGACCCCCAACACCTTGGGGTGTGCAGGGACACCAGGAAGGGACACGTGGGGACATCAAACCAATGGGACAGAGGGAGACAACCCTTTTTTCCCCAAGGCAGGTAAGGTTCCCTACCTAGGGATAGTCATGGATCTCCACCCTCCTGGGGAAGGCAGGAGAACCCCTTCTTTCCCCCATACCAAGGGAGAAAGCTCCACTCCCCAGGGCCAGTGGGGATCCCAAGCCAGGGACAGCCCCTTCTTTCAAGGGTGGGCCCCCGAGGACAGACAGGAATCTCCATTCCACAGGGACCCCCCCAGGCCAAGGTAGAAGGGCAGAGGACCCACCTCAGACCCATCTCAGAAAGGAACCCTGTGGGGGCCTCTGCCCAGCACCTCCTGGGCCAGGGACCCCATCCCCTCCCCTTCAAGAGCTTTGTGTCCCCCTTCCCAGAAAGGGATCCATGAGGACAGCTGGGGACCTCTCCTCCTCAGGGCAATGATCCCATCTGCCCCTCTCTCCCCCTGCCTCCTCACTCATTGCACAGTTGGGACCCCTGGGAACCCCCCGAGCTCTTGGAGCATGTGGGGACACCCCAGTAGGCACATTAAGAGCCCCACACCCTCCACAATCCAGGGCAAGCAGGTACCCTCACACCCAGGGCAGAGGGGGCACCCAGAGACAGACAGACAGACAGACAGGGACCCCAACACCAACAGCCTGGAGTGTCTGGCAAGGACCCCTCAGGGCACTTGGATCCTGCACTCCTGGGGGAAGGACACAGCCCCATCCTGGGTGCACAGGGACATGACAAGGACCCCTGGGAACCAAGGAGACACCCTGACCAGTGATGCCCCTTCCCCACCCCTCCCAGGGGTACAGGATCACTGCCTGTCCCTCCCTCTCGCCCCAGCAGGGATCCTCCGGATGCAGGCAGGGACAGACACACCTGGGCACTTGGGGACACCAGGGCAGGAGCTTGGGGACATCCCAGCCCCAGGGCAGATGTGGGATACACATCCCTGGAGCAGGTACTCAGGGATCGACAGGGACCCCAGAACCCTCTGGGGTCAAAGGGGATCCCCAGGGTAAAGGAAGAGCCCCTGGGGCAGCCCCTGGGCCAAGTGGGGTTCCCCAGTTACACCTGGGTCCCTCAGTCCCTGACTCACATGGAGATACCCCCCCGGGCAGGAGGGGACCCCATGGGAGCAACAAGATCCCCAGAACAGGACCCCGGGGTGGGCAGGAAGAGCCTCCAAGCCCTGGGGCAAGTGGAGGCACCCCTGGGATGTGGGGACCCCTGGGACCAAGGCAGGACCCTGCACCCCGGGGCGAGAGGGAAGCTGCGGGACAGACAGACACATTCCCGACTTCCAGAAGGTGCAGGGGGCAGAAGGTGCCTCCGGCAGGGCCCCAGGGCAGGCAGAGCCCCTGGGGCAGGTGGGCACCACCCAGGGGCACTTGAGGACTCCAGCTCTTGAGGCTGGGAGACTTCAGGGTGGCCTGGGGGAACGAGGAGACCTCCAGTCCCAGAGCAGGGGGGGCATCCCGGGGAAAGAAGGGAACCCCCAGCCATGGGGGCTACGGGACCTCTCCCCTTTCAAAGGTGAAGGGTCTGTGCTGCCCCCGGCTGGGACCCTGCAGGGACAGGCTGAGACCTCCAGCCCCGTGGCCCTCCCCAGGCCAAAATAATCTCACCTTGCCCACTTCCCCCATCCCCTCCTTCAAGGGCAAAGGGTCCCCATCAGCAGCGGCCCCTGTGGGGATCCCCGCCCGGACCCCCCGGGTCAGGGGTCCCGTTGTGGCTGCCGGGGACACTCCCCGGGGTGTCTGGGGTCCTCCAAGCCTACAGGGACACCCCGACCCCGGGGGCAGAGGGTAGCGCTTGGGGACGAACAGGACACGGGGGAGGTGGGACAGGAGAGCCCTCCAGCCCCTGGCTTAGGGTGGAAGCACCGCCGGGCAGGGAGAGAGCCCTGGGCAGAGGCAGAAACCCGCAAACCCCGCAGCCAGCGGGGACAGCGGAACGCGGAATCCCTCACCCCCGGAGCAGAGACAGAGACACCTCCAGGAGCAGAGACAGCCCAAGAGCAGAGGGCACCCCCAAGAGCAGAGACAGCCCCGGGAGCCGAGACAGAGACACCTCCAGGAGCAGAGGGCACCCCCGGAGCAGGGACAGACACCCCCTTTCAAAGGCAGGGGTTCTGTGTCTGCCACCGGCAGGGAGGCCCCAGGGACATGCAGCGACCTCCATTCCCAGGGCACGTGGAAGACTCCTGGGCAGAGAGCGACAAATCCGCCCGGGAGCAGAGGGTGACACCCCGTGGGAACTCGGGGACCTCCAGTGCGAGGGAGGGACCCCCCCGGAGCAGGGGAGAAAGGGGAAAGGCAGGGACCCGCACTCCCGGGAGGGGCGGGGGACACTTGGGGACGAGCGGCGACCCCCAGCTCCCGGGGCAGGAGGAGACGCCCTCAGCCACCCTCAGCCACCCTCAGCCCCGTTCCCTGGGGCACAGCCGAGCCCCAGCCCCGGCAGGGCCCCGAGCCCCGCTCGCCCCGTCCCTCACCGTGTGCGCCCGCTCGGGGCTGCGCGCTGCCGCCGCCGGGGGCTCCGCCGCGGGGATGGACACGGCGATCATGGCCCAGGGCACGGCGGGACCGGCCCCGAGCGGGGCCCGGAGCGGGGCCGGGGCCGCGCAGGGACCGCCCCGAGCGCACACGGCGGGGTCACGGCCCCCGGGCAGGCCGGGGGGATGCGGCGGGCCCAGGGCAGCACAGGAACGGAGCCGCGGAGGCGCCGCAGGGAGCCGGGTTCCAGGGATAAGGGGAAAGGAAAGAGGGAAGTCAGGCCGAGCTGCCTTTTCGCTTTTTGAACGGGTATCGGTTTTGATAAAAGCGCACACGCGAGGCTGGGACGGGGGGGGAAGGAGCAAACCCGGGTAAGGGAGGGGGGGTAGGAGCAGCACAGCCCTGAGAGCTCCATTGTGGATTCCTGGGAATGCCACAAAGTGGGATCGCTGGAGAGCCCCGCTGAGCTCAGATCCTAAAAACGGCTCCCAGCGGAGGAAAGGCAGAGAGCCAAAGCCTAATCAAGAGCGGGGACAGGTGGCCAGAGCAGCGTCCAAGGTCACCTCTGTCCCGTCACAACACGGGGGAGGCTCTGCTGCCGCCCTCGGCCTCCAGGGATGCACCCTTACCCCTCCCCATCCCACCCCAAACACCCAGAGCCTGTTTGCCCTGATAGAAGTTTTATTACAGAACTTTAATGGCACTGCAGGAGTAAGATAATTCATTAGAGCCTTAAAACCCAGCCTGAAAAATAGATATTTGCCAGATCTCATTAACCCCTTGGCTGCGGGTCTGGTCTGGAAGCAGGAAACTAGTTTCTCTTCAGTAAGAAAATATATGTTGCTAAATGAAAAATATACAGTTAGAAGAGTTACTGGCTCACAAGCTGTTCTTCTGGGGGTGACACCTCTACCAGCTCCAGCATGTGGAACGAGGGGTCGCTCATGTGGAAAAGAGGAGGAGGTATAGTGTATATAAAAAAAAAAAAAAAAAAAGGCAAAATTCAGGTTTGTTTGCTCAGTCCAATTAAGAAATGGCCTTGGCTTCAGGCAGGAACGCTTCCCAGTACTTCACCAGCTGCAGGGAGGAGAGGGAGAGAGTCAGGAGCCTTAAGAATGGAGCTGCAGTGCAGGGGGGCAGGCTTGAGAGATTCACAAGCACGGCCTGAATTTGGACATAAAACCACATCAGGGAGCACTCACCTGCTGCTGAGAGTTCAATAACGTCTCAAGGTATTTCGTGACGTGGTTTCTGAAGTCCTTAGACTTCTCTTTCTGCAAGAGATGGGCATGAGGCTGGAGCAACCACCAAAACCCTCCAGAGTCTGGGAGGGGGAAGGAGAAACCAGCAGGATTTTCCTGTTCCTCCTGGGGCCCCGTGAGGAGAGCAGCACATGGGCCACAGAGGATCTTGGCCCAGCCAGCTTCATTTTAAGATTCCCTGTGGGGAAGCCCCCTCAGCAAGACCCCAGCTCACACACGTTGGGATTCAGGGATGCTGCTGTGCCAGGAGGAGGGGCAGGAGCCCGGGTCAGTGCCAAGGGCTGTCCCCACGTACCTCAAAGCGGATCACCTCCTTGCGGATGACGGCAGAAATGCGCTCAAAGTCCCTCTCGTACTGCGTCACCCGGGACTCCCACTGCAGAGACAGCAAAGGCACCTTGGGCACAGCAGAAAGAGCTCCTGCCCCCTCTCCATGGGGCTCTGGAGCCACCACTGTGCATGTGAGAGGTGCTGCTGGAGCAGAGCTCGGCCCTTGGCACCACCTTGGCATGGAGGCCACAGGAGGCAGGAGCACCAGCAGCCCCTCCTGCCGCCTCACTCAAGGCTGGCTTGGTCCTTGGTGTAACCTGGCCACAGACACCTCTCCCTCCTGCTCAGGAGGTGCCCCCCAGCCCAGGAGGGTCCCTCCCCAGCCCAGGAGGTTCTGTCTGCACTGGAGCAGGGAGGGCAGGAGCAGAGCAGAGACCCCATGCTCCGTTCCCTACCTCTGAGATCTCATCCTTGGCCTGCTGCAGCTTGTCAGGTTTGTTTGCCCACAGCAGCCTGGCCTCCATCTCCCTCTTCTTCTGGAGCATGGTCTGGGCATCCTGCCACCGCTGCCAGGTCCTCATGCGCTGGTCAAAGGCTCCCTGGAGGGAAGGAGGGGCACAGCTCTCCTGACAAGGGGACACTGGAGGTCCTGGACCAAAGCTGAGCCAGAATACAGACTGGGTCCTGCCCTGGAGCATCCACAGCTCCTGTATGGACCAATGGACCAAGGATATGGTGGTCTGGCCTTTGGGGCAGGAAGGGGGCAGCCTGCTGGACTTGCTAGTCCCATGGGATTGCTTCTTCCCAGTGCACCAGATGGGCTGTGTGGATTTGATGCCCAAGTTCAGGAGCACTCAGCATTCAGGCTCTGCCAGAGCAGGCACTTGGCAGGTCAGTTTTCACCCCCTGTATCACAGGTCACCAGCTCCCAGCTTCAGCCTTCACCTCTGGAAGGGCTGGGTCACCCACAAGCCATGAACTTGCTCCACATCCCCTCTGGAGAACAGCAGCACAGCCAGGCCTCACCTACAGCATCTTCCAACCTAACCAGGGCACACCTGCCCAGCCAGCCAGGTTTCCCTCTGCTGTGCCCTGTGCTTGAGTTTGGAAGATCTCCTGGCATCCCTAAGCCTACAATGGGTACGAGGAGCAGGAGTAAAGGAATCCTTACCTTCACAACCGAGAGCAGGCGGATGTAGTCCCCCAGGAGCTCGGCCAGGAGGAAGAAGTCATTGTTGGCCTGCTCATGGTGCAGCTGCTCAATCTTCTCCTCCACCTCAGCCAGCTGGGACAGGGCCCGGGACAGGGCTGTGTTGTCCTCTGAGCTCCCCAGCATGGCCAGGCTCTTGGCAAACTGGGCTGTGTTCAATGCCAGCTCTGGGGAACGGGATGAGGGTCAGGAGAAGGGCCTGGCTGCACCAGGAGCTCCCCAGCAGAGGGTTCAGCCCTTGGAGCTGCCTTCCCACAGCTCCAGGGGATACCAGCTGGAAGGGCCAGCACTGCCTCAGTCAGAGCCAGCAGCTTCCAGCCATGAGGAAAAGGGAAGCAGGAAAGGGAAGGAAAAGGGAAGCAGCTGAGCGAGAGGACAGGCACAGCTTTGCAGAAGTCAGTGAAAAATGCAGAGGAAGGAAAACATCCCCACTCCCAGAGGTCAGCTCTGCTCAGGTTTGCTACAGCAGCATTCAGGCCCATGAGGACAGGCTGAGGGAATTAGGGTTGATCAGCCTGCAGAAGAGAAGGCTCCAGGCAGACCTCAGAGCCCTGCCAGGGCCTAACAGGGCCCCAGGAGAGCAGGAAAGGGACTGGAGACAAGGAATGGAGGGACAGGACAAAGGGAAATGGCTTCCCACTGCCAGAGGGCAGGGATAGATGGGATATTGGGGAAAAATTCTTCCCTGTGAGGGAACTGAGGCCCTGGCACAGGTTGCCCAGAGCAGCTGTGGCTGCCCCATCCCTGGAAGTGCCCAAGGCCAGGCTGGACAGGGCTTGGAGCAGGCTGGGACAGTGGAAGGTGTCCCTACCCATAGCAGGGGGTGGAACAAGATGGACTTTAAGGTTCCTTTAGCCCCCAAGCCATCCTGGGATTGTGTGATCCCACAGGACCCCGGTTCCCTTGCACACTGCCATCCCGAGCTTGTGGAGCTGCACACGAGAACTGGGGTGACCATTTCTGGTCTCCCAGGAGGAAAGGACAGAGAGTCCCATCTCCTTGGAAGTGTCCCCTGGTGACCCTCTCCAGGCCCAGCCCAGGTGTGACAGTCCCAGCCCAGGTGTCCCTCTGTCACCTTTGCGGTGGTTCACCAGCGTCTCCACCACCGCGTGCAGCTTCCGCAGCCGCTGGTCCTCGCACTCCACCTCCTGCAGCTTCTCCTCAAACCACTGCAATGGGTAAATGCAGAGCTGATCCCCACAGGGGGGGCTTTCCCTGCACCCAGAGCTGGAGCTGGGAAGAGCACCCAGCTCTGGAGTGAGGATAGGGATGCCCAGGGGTGCCCCAACACTCACCATGTCCGATTCGTTCATCTTGATGGTCATTTTACTGACTGCATCCGTGGCTTTGTTGAACATCTTCATTATTCCTGCTCCACTCAAGGTCTGGGTTCCTACTGCTCTTGGGAGCTGGAAAGGAATGGAAAAGTTTGCTTTGCCATAGGAGATGGAGCCAGGCTGAGAGAGCTGGGGGTGTTCACCTGGAGAGGAGAAGGCTCCAGGGAGAGCCCAGAGCCCCACTGAGTGTCTAAAGGAGCTCCAGGAGAGCTGGAGAGGGACTCTGAACAAGGCCTGGAGTGACAGGACAAGAGGAAATGAGTTTCCACTACCAGAGGGCAGGGACAGATGGGATATTGGGAAGAAATTCTTCCCTGTGAGGGTGATGAGGCCCTGGCACAGGTTTCCCAGAGCAGCTGTGGCTCCCCCACCTCTGGAAGTGTCCAAGGCCAGTGGATGAGGCTTGGAGCAACCTGGGATAGCAGCAGGTGCTCCTGCCCATGGCAGGGGGTGGAATGTGCTGGGCTTTTAAAAGTCCCTTCCAGCCCAAGCCATTCCATGATCCTGTTTTGCCCATGAGGCACCTGCTGAGTGATCTCTCCCTGCCCTTTTGTTTGTTTTCTCCCAGCTGAGGGGATGGTGCAGCAGCTTTGGTGGCACCTGGTGCCAGCAGCAGCTCCCACTCCTACATGGCTCTGCCACTTCCCACTGAGCCTTGGGGGCATCCTGCCTCATTAACTGCTCAAGGACCATTTCCTTAAGCACTTCCAAGGATTCCTCACTCCACCCTTCTGACCTCCTCCTTCTCCAAGAACTCCCTGACGTCCGGGTCCTGCAGCATGGTTGGATGGCTGACCACCCTCCGTAGGTACCTGTGGGAGGAACAACTCCAGGAGTTACTCTGGCTGTAGCAAATCCAGCTTTTGATTTTAAATCTGTCCATCACAGCTTGGTATTTACTCCAGAACAGCAGTTGGGGGGCTGGAAATCAGAGCCAACAACTGTTCTAATTCACCCAGCAGTTCTCCTGTCTTCCTGGGGAATTTGATGGTGCCACCATGAAGAGCAGAGGTCCTCTCTGAGGTCCCTCTCTCAGTCCAGGGACAGCTGATGGGGTCATACCTCTCTAGAGCAGCCCGACGTTTTTCTAGGAACTCTGCAGAGGAGGAATCTTCTTTCCCAACTTTCACTTTGGTCATGCCTAGCACAGAGGGAAGATGTGATTAATGAGCTGCTCCAAACTCTACACACAAGGTAAAGTGGTTTATTACAAGGTAAAGTGGTTTATTACAGACTACCAGGGTGACAGTGGAGAAGAGGAATCTTACAACAGGAATGAGACTTCGGAAATTTGAAATCTGCTCGTACCCAAGGAACTGACATGCAGGAAAGAGGCAAAGCAATGGGCTGAACTCAAGTGAACAGCAATTCAGTGACATCATGGAGG